TGGTTGATGACAGTTGAAGACTTGAAGTTGAAGTGAAAGACTTATTGCTTTGTCTTGCTAAAATACTTAAATAATAAATATTTCAAGAATATTTACCCAAGTTCAGTTTCAGAATATAACCTCTTAAAAACTTATTCACTGAAAGACAGTGTAATAATTTTTTTGAGTTCAGCATCTTCAGCTGTTGTCAAGTGGCCCCTTAGAAACAGAATACATGAAATTGCTACAAAAAGCCTTTAACTTCTTTGATTGCCTATATCCAATTTGAGAAAAGATTAGCTGAATGCAATGGCTGTTTAACGGATTGTGGAACCAATGATAATTTTCCACATTAATAACAAAATATAAGAGACATATGCCTTTCAAAGTAGAGTCATGGATTCTTATTTACATAGAATATTATCCTTGGTTCCATAACCTGTTAAACAGCCATCACATTCACCTAATCTAAATTAATCTAAGATTCTAGGTAGCATCATAAAATGGGCTGGACTAGACCGCTAGGTCATCTCGACTATAACAATTTGCTCAATCCGTAACTTGAAGTACCCGGTTGGTCCAAAACCTTTTTTCTACTCGAATATGATTTTTGTTTGCTGAATTTGTATCATCAATGAATACATCTTACAGGAATCTTTCTTTTAACTTTACTTGATACTTCCCAATGGGGAAAATAATTAAATGAAAAATAAAAGAAAAGTCAGCAAAAATAGCTTTCCAAGATGCATGTACCTCCGTTATGGGCTAATGGGCTTTATTCTAGTGCAAACTAAAGGGGTGTTCGATAATTTTGTTTTTGACAACCAAAACAACTGCCGTGTGCCGTCAAATAGGTCCAATATTTAATTGCTGCGTACAAGATTAGTACACCATCCAATATGTCCAGGCCCAAACCAGCCCAATCTTTAAATTGGGCCGGGCCATGATGAGCACAAGTTGATACCATAATTTTTTTTGGCATATAATATATCATAGTTAAGAACTTGGAAAAAAAGTTAACCATGAGATCAATAGGTGAGCAACAATAATGTCCAGGTTCGATAATGCAAATGATGGACACGTTATGGTCATTACTTCAGTACTGTTATTTTATGGAGACAAATTGTTTGCAGTTGGAGTGGGTATGGAACTATGGACCGAAGGAAGTGAACGAGGATGGCATAGAGAAGCTATCTAAGTTTATATTTGGTTTGAAGGAAAATTTAGAGAAATTTATATAAAATTTGTAAAGGTTTTCCAATCTTTCTCTTCAAAATATACAAGGTTTTATGTGATTTTGCATTTTTGTACCTATAACCATGAAAGACCTGTGGAAAATAGTGGAGGTACAATTTGCCAATTTGGGTTATTGGGTAGGGCCCAACTCAAGTTCTGAACGACCCATCCCTTAATATTATACAGGTTGGGCTTCGATTTTTGAACCTCAAATTTGATTTGGCGCCTAAATTATAGGCTTTCTTATATTTTGGTTAGTTGCAGTCCAAATTAACCTTAGCTCAATCCAGAGTAAACCCAAGTCCAGTCCAACTATGTTTATTTTGTGTGCATATATTATGAGAAAATCTATGATGCGAAAAAGATACGATATGGGAAGAGTTTTGACCAATCAAAACCCACCCATAAATTTTGATAAATAACTTAATTGGTTATCACATTTATCATTCAAATTGAAAGGTTAAAAGTTTTTCAGATATCATATTTTTTTCATATCATAGTGGAATCCATATATATATATATATGTCAAATTTAAGTGTAAATTGGCTTCTGTCAGGGCAAGCCTGTATTCATACCATTCCAACAGCCTCTTACAACTTTGCATTAGGATACCTCCCCATGATATTAATACAGAGATATTTCCAATGCAAGGTTATAGAGGCTAAGTCGAACTCAAAACTGTGTTGGTCAAAATGGCTGTAACCTCTGGCTCGGACTGGATTTCCAATGCACATCCCTATTATAGAATATTGTCCTAAATTCCTAATGAACAAAATTATTGTTTTTTTTCTTGAATAAGCTTTTTTTAACATTAGATTTTTTCGTGAATAAAATACCTCGCTTATTGAATTTGTTCTCTTCATAGTGTAGGGGCATAAATTGTATCTTTTTAGAATCAACTTGTGAACAAAGTTTTTTTCCCCGAACACGTACTCATTTAAAGTTGAAGTGAGAATATAAAATGGAATACGGAAATTGTTTCTCAACGACATTTCAAACGAATTCAACAGATTAACTGTTCCCTGCAAGTTGTAACATGTCCATGTAATGCAAGATTATTATTATCGTTGTTATTATTTTTCATGAAATCCATACAAATAAAATCATTTAATTGTATAAATAGTAATAACCTCATTTTAAAAGTAATGTAATGAGCTAGGGCCCATTTGGTTCCTGGGAATAGGGGCCTGGAATTGGAATCGGAATGGTTATTCCGATTCTAATTGTTTGATTGAATGGAATTGGAATTTCATTTTCATTCTTATTGGAATGGTTATTATCTGCCTTACTCGTTGGGAATAAAATCTTTTTCCTTTTGATTTCAATTCCATTCTTATTCCTATATGAACCAAATAAATTATAGGAATGGATCATTCAAATTCCAACTACAAACCAAATGAACCCTAAATTCTTTTACAGGTTAGAAGTTGCAATTAATTTAAAAATTAGGTTATTTCATTTTCTTCTTTACAGGGTTTACGGTAGCAAGTCGTGATCGTTGTTTTGTTTGAATATCAACATCATGCCCCATATGATGAAATTGTCGCTTTTTTCACGGGAATGGAGAATTGTTGTTTGGTGATGGATGTTTTTATTCAATCAAGTCCACGGCCCATTTGTATTTCCGATTTTCGATTCTTCAATCGGAAGCATTTAAGACAGGGTGGGGGTGGGTGGACGGTCACTTCAAATGTATAATGAGTTATCCTACAACCGACATGGTTGATAAGTGCAGATACACCCAATTTTGGGCAAATCTTTTATAAACGCAGACCGGAGGTTGAACCACTTTTCCTTGCAGGATCAGCGGGTCAGCGTTTGAATACATGGTCCAACCATTCGATTGATGATCATCAATCAAATCAACTTTTTTTTATTTAATATTAATAAAATGGTCCATGTGATGCACGGAGAATTTGATATTGATGAAAATACATATATCATTCAAGTCCTAAAACAATTATATAATACATAAAAAATATTATTCCTCACAAAATGTCAATATCTAAATTTTATAATATGCATATAATGTTTATTACAAATGCATCAGATTGAAACATTAATACATCAAATTAATGATAAAGTTTTACTCAACAACATTATATATAGATGTTGTTCATCCCAATGAAACACAAAATTTATAAAGAATAGAAGATGCCACTCTTAACAGATCTCCTATTTTGTGATAACCTAAAACCTACAAAAATAATTACTATTAATGGTTAGAAGTAAGTAAAGTTATTACGTTAACTTACTCAAATAACCATTGAATAAGAGAAGTCATTATATAAGATGATTATTAAATAACTTACATTTAAGCCTAAAAACATTTTTCTTCTTACTTTCTAGCTAAGACAAGATAAAGAAATTAGTTGAAAGCAAAATTTATCAACCAAGCACTAAAGTAACATGAATGCAAACATCTTTTACGCATGTTGAGTACCTCCACACACTTGTGCAATAATAAAACAATCGAACAATTCATAATGTGTCACAGTATTGCATACGACTAAGGACATGAGTTATAGACCCTACTTAACAATTGCATAAATGATAACATGCAATCCCAATGGCCAAATGCCCTTATAAGATCTGAGCCTAATTGACAAACATGTTTGGTGCCTGTGGCCAACTACAAAAATGATAATGTGTCGGGCTGTGTTGCCCTCATTGGTGAAAAATTTGGAGGTCGCCTCGGCATGGCCCACGACTCAGGCTCGTTCGAGCTCTTGCCCTGTCGTGCCATGGGCCGGGCTGGCCCGTGGGCCAGGTCAGGCCATGCATCGGGACAAAGCTATTTATTTTAAAAAATTGACAAACAATTTAAATTTTTAATTCTATATGAATTTTGTGTATAGAATTGCTTATACATACAATAATTAAATAAATTAATATAATAAAATAAAAAAATATTTATTTTATTAATATATTATATAATATATATTATTACATAATATCATATAAATATATAAAATATATATAAATAATATATGGGCCAGGCTGTGAGTTAGACCATACCAACCCGCGAACCCATTCGATCGTGCCGTGCTCTGCTGGTCCGTGGACCTAAAATCCCATGCCACCACGGCCCGCATGATCGTGACGGGCCAACATAAACATAACAGCGAATCTTGTCTTATTTATCAAAATTCATGCATGGGTGGATTTTGATTTGTCAAAACTGTTTCAACACCATACTTAGACCCTCTAGTTCAGAATTCATAGATTCACATAAATTGGTGCACGGATGTCAACGGGTATTACCACTTAGCTCGACCCACTGGCCACTGACATGTTGGACATTTCACAAATTTTCCTTGCGGTGGAAATTAACAAAGGAGTTACAATTATTTTCATTTTCGGTACAGAGCATTGAAGAATTGGATGCTGATCCCACGGTCTGGATGACTAGATCCATTGCGTAGGGATGGGGCATGGGATCGCCCACAGAAGAAAGTAAAACGTAAAGGTGACGGCCCACGGGAGAAGATATAGGGCTCCCATCTGAGGCAGCAGCGACAAAACGTGAATTTCAAAATTTAAAATTTAACCTAAATGACCGTAATGCCGTTAAGTGCAAAAGTGCGAGAGAGTCTTTTTACTCTTTTAATACACGGCAGTCCCTGCAAATTTATGGAAGAATCAGACCCGTTATAAGACAAAAATTGAAATCGGGCGGTAATGGTATCAACCAAGATCCTCCCTGCCACCCGTCCGTAACCACAGTTAGCTAACCACGGTTTCTTTCCCTCGTCTCTCTCCTCTCTTCCCAATATATAAGCGAAGCGAAATGTTCAGAACCTCGCACCAAAAGGGCGTCTTGATAAACGCCTATCTGGTTTGTGCTAGTTTTATCCTTCTCTCTACTCTTATCTTCTCTCACATTTTTTCGTTCGATTCTCTCCTCCCGCGAAAATGAGAGAGTGCATCTCAATTCACATTGGTCAGGCCGGTATCCAGGTCGGCAATGCATGCTGGGAACTTTACTGTCTCGAGCATGGCATCCAGGTACCATATCCAGATCTGTAACTTACTTCTGTTTTATTTGTTCTAGTTCTGTGTTTTCGTCCAGTTCTTTCAATTCTTTTTTTCGGTAGCATAGTTTTTTTTTTTTTTTTTTTTTATCAGCCACCGTTTTCAAATGAAAATTCATTTTTCCTAGTTAAGGGTTCGACATTTCTCCAGATCTAGGGTTTTGCCTCGCCTAATGCATTTTCTTTAGAATAAATGCTAGATCTGTTTTGCTAAAGGCCCATATAGAGTTGTAGTTTTGCTTTATCTTCATTTATCTTGCTTGATATATGGTATATACGTCTAGAAGCGTTAGATCTCTATGTAATATGATTTTTTTGTTCCGTTTTGGCATTTTCTTTTATTCCGTCTTTGTGTTTAACCTGGATTATCAGCTTTCCCTTCATTTTACTCTCCAGATCTGGGACATTTCGTTCATTTGGATCGTAGATCCAGGAGGAATCTGTCCTTAATTTGCATTTTGACATTCTACTTTAGTTAACTATATTGTGTAGTTCTGCAGATCTACTTAGTTTTCTACTGCTCTACAATTTAGTTTTCGATGTGCTGAAACATACCCTGCTCCTGCCTAATTATCCCCCATTATTTGAAATCTTTACAGACATTGTTTTTTATCTAAGTCAAAATTGCAAAATTGTAGGTATCAACGCAGTGTGCTTCACTGCAACAGTAAAAGTTTTCCGTCTGCTTCTGTTATTCTTTTTTTTTTTTTTTTATGAATTCTGCTTCTGTTATTCTTTCCGAAATCCTTTGGTATCAACGCAGTGTTGCATCTTCTGTGCCTGATGATTTTCTAAGCAGACATCTCGCGCACGGAGGTGTGTTTGGTGAATTCTATGTTTTGGAGAAAAACCCAACAATTTGAATATTGCCTTGCTGCCTTTAATTTTGTGCATTTTCATCTTTCTTCGTTGGCTTTTCGTAATAGTAATTATCTCCTATTACAGCCTGATGGCCAAATGCCAAGTGACAAGACAGTTGGTGGGGGAGATGATGCATTCAACACCTTTTTCAGTGAAACTGGTGCTGGGAAACATGTTCCTCGCGCTGTATTTGTAGATCTTGAGCCCACCGTCATTGATGAAGTGAGAACTGGACAATACCGCCAGCTCTTCCACCCAGAACAACTTATCAGCGGCAAGGAGGACGCTGCCAACAATTTCGCCCGTGGTCACTATACTAGTGAGTACATCTCCTTTTTCATTATTGCCCTTGTGTCTCTTCTGTTAATAAAATATGGATTGTAACATCGAAATCTTCTTTTACAGTTGGTAAGGAGATTGTTGATCTTTGTCTGGACCGCATCCGTAAGCTGGCTGACAATTGCACTGGTCTCCAAGGCTTCCTTGTTTTCAATGCTGTTGGTGGAGGCACTGGCTCTGGTCTTGGTTCACTTCTCCTGGAGCGTCTTTCTGTTGACTATGGAAAGAAATCAAAGCTTGGTTTCACTGTTTATCCATCCCCTCAGGTTTCCACTTCAGTTGTTGAGCCCTACAACAGTGTCCTATCTACCCATTCCCTTCTCGAGCATACTGATGTTGCTGTGCTTCTTGACAACGAAGCCATTTACGACATCTGCAGGCGTTCTCTTGATATTGAGCGTCCCACTTACACCAACCTCAACCGCCTGGTCTCTCAGGTAATAGACGTTTTCTTGTCGTAAACATCAGAACTTGCTATGAAAATAATGTTGGAATAATAACATCATTAACTTATTTCTGCATGCTTGGTTCAGGTTATTTCATCCTTGACTGCCTCCCTGAGGTTTGATGGTGCCCTGAATGTTGATGTGACTGAGTTCCAGACCAACCTGGTTCCCTACCCCAGGATTCATTTCATGCTCTCATCGTATGCACCAGTAATCTCAGCCGAGAAGGCCTACCATGAGCAGCTATCGGTGGCTGAAATCACCAACAGCGCCTTTGAGCCATCATCTATGATGGCCAAGTGTGACCCTCGCCACGGCAAGTACATGGCATGCTGTCTGATGTACCGAGGTGATGTTGTGCCCAAAGATGTGAATGCTGCTGTTGCTACCATCAAGACCAAGAGAACCATCCAGTTTGTGGACTGGTGTCCCACTGGGTTCAAATGTGGTATCAACTATCAGCCACCAACTGTTGTTCCAGGGGGTGACTTGGCCAAGGTTCAGAGGGCTGTCTGCATGATCTCCAACTCCACCAGTGTTGCGGAGGTTTTCTCCCGAATTGACCACAAGTTCGATCTGATGTATGCTAAGCGTGCCTTTGTTCACTGGTATGTTGGTGAGGGCATGGAAGAGGGAGAGTTCTCTGAAGCTCGCGAGGATCTTGCAGCTTTGGAGAAGGATTATGAGGAGGTTGGCGCTGAATCTGCCGAGGGAGAAGATGGTGACGAGGGAGACGAGTACTGAGTGTGAACGAGTGTGGTTGGTTCATCAGTTTTAGTTTCTTCCATGTTTAGGTGGACGATGTGTTTTCGTTTTCTCGGATGCGCTATATGTTTTACTGAAGCAGCTTAGATTGTGTTAATGCTCTACGTGTAATCTTTTGTTTTACTTCTCCGATGCCATGCTATACTCCTAACTATTAGTAGAGGTTTCTTATACGCCCGCTGCACTCGCCAACACGACAATGGTCGTAGGCATAGCTTGCTTCTCTTACCTCTTGCCTCTCTCGTGTATCACTTTCCCACACACCTCTCATCTGTAAGAGTTGGCAATTCATCCTTCTGGCCACACCACCTCATTTATCTTATTAAAACCACTTCCTCTAGCTTACATCTTTTTTTTTGTTTTTTTTTTTTTTGAACAAAGCGAACATCTATTTAGCTTGTTGGGATAGACAACTAATCATGAAAAAAATTACCCCATGCAAATAAGTCTAGTGTGCATTAATTGGATAAACATCCCAATCGTTTTCCAATGACAACTAGGGGAAATATTCCCAATGCATGAGGGGCACGTTCTGTGGGGCGTCAATGTGAACTCTGGTGGCACGGAAAGAGGAATGGTGTTTCTCTCCGGTGATGGAAATGGGGTGGGGGCCGTGGAGGGAGAGGAGCTGGACATTACAGGCGGGAAGGGTTTTTCCAGAGTTCAAACATGTCCTGTATTTTGAAATTTGAATATTAAGATATGGAAATGATAGGATATTCAAAAAACATCTGATCAATCAACTGGAATCATATACTTGATAGCGAATCAAGTGTTATCCATACCATATCTTTTCCATGTCAGATTTTTCTAACTTGTATTTGCATCGTTAAAAACCAAAAAGTTAAATATTATTTAACTATTAACATGGGCTTGGAATGGGTAACGTGTCATAGTGAGGAAACTTCGCCCCAAGCAGCCTCGGGGAACGTAAGGACTAAGGAGCCTGTACCGTAGTCTGTAGTTGCTGTCCAAAACAAATCTTGAACAAATGAACAATGCAGCCAGGATCCTACAAGCGTTATGCCTTTCTACAAATTAATGTTTCTCGACAGAAGGGTTTCATAATCTTTCAAATGCAACTGAAACAATTCTCCAATGTTATGTGGATCGTCTACATGAATCCTACTCTCGTACCATACTCGTTGCTAAACCATGGGCGCTCTGAAATCATTTCAACAATTCGTTGGAAAAGATTGAAAATCTTTCAGAAATAAGAAAGTAGAATATAACTAGAAGTACAAGCTTGTTCTAACTTCATGAAGCTATTCTTGTGATTTGATGGGAGCTGTCCTCTTTATGAGCTTTAACCGGATAAGATGTGTTATATATATATATACATTATTTATTTATAAATATATTGTTTATATTGTATTTTTATAAAAACATATATATATGATAATAATTAAAAAAAATTGTATTTTTTGTTTTTCCTTTATTTAAATTGGTATATTTTATTTTTTCTTTTAACAATTTATTTATTTTTAAAGAAAATAAATCGGATCAAATCAGATCCGAAGATCCAATAAGATTCGAATTCAGATTGAGTTCTATCAGATCCAATCTGACATAAACAGTGTAGGATCGGATTTGAATATACCCTGCCCGTTTGCATCCCTATATCAGTTTTCTGGATTGCAGACTTACCTTGGTTGTGATCAAAGTCATAGTAGCTTAAGACGGTATGCTTCTCCTTGAACCAGTGTGTTGTAGTATCAGCTTGTGTTTCTGAACACAGTACGCTCAAATCCATGTCTCCATCTTACAAGTATTCTTCATTTTGTTCCTATTAACAGGATCTTAACATAAAACTCATCTAACAACTACAATCTATCACAGAAAAAGCACCTTCTATATATTTTCTTTAAATTATTGCTTAATTCCACTGTTGTGTGGTCTTTTTGTCTTTACTACGTAATTTTACCAGCGCCCCAACTTTTGAACAAGGTTCTCCTCAATATTCATTCTCTTTTTCATCAACAAGGTGTATTTGGAGTGAAGTTCAGGGTCTCCAGTTTTCATTGAAAGCTTGCAGCCAAGGGATGTTTTCTCTAATCTGTCCTCATACATGCATGAGATAGGCACGAAAGAGCGTTTGTTGTTGCAAAGCCATCCGTGTGCTGCCCTCAAGGCAGCACCCAGGGAAGCAGAGTCTGTCAAACATGGAATAAAGAGTAAGAAGCCTCTGCAACAGGTGGATGGAACATAAAATAGATAGCCATCAGGAGACTTGTAATAATTGCAAAATCATTCTTTACAAGATTCTACCATCTCTTCGTGAATCTGGGTGTGTGTACATTGGGGCTAAGAGCATCAACAAGTTGAGGTCTTAGGCTGAAGGTGATAAACCACGTCAAATAGTTGTACTTGGTAGTTGGTAGACCATTATAAGTACAAAAGAACTGTTTTAGTATCTTCAATGACAAACAAAACAGTCTAAATGCTACATAAGTTACCACACAGATAGTGTGTCCCAATTCCCAAACAAAATATGCACATATAGTTCTCCTGTACTAGGTATGGGATCATTAGCTAGTTTTCAGATCAGACCTAACTACAAACAAAAAACAGGTAGGTAGAAATGGTATTTAACCTTATGGTCTTAATTTCTCTCATTCAGACAAAAGATACTTATCAGAGCAAACGATAATGCAAAAACCTTGTTCATCTAGGAAGTCAAGTTATTTTTTCTTGCCTTGGCCATGGACGGCAAGTCCAAAAGGATAAATGAAATATGTGTTTCTGAAAAGGAGGAAGTTAATGGTGATAAGGATGAGTAACATGAGTTTGGATTTGGTCCTCACAGTACCATCCTCACACTGTTATCACAACTTTTTGCAGCCATGCATTGGGAACATCTAGGTACTAGTATGTTGTTTTCTTCGTGGAGAGATATTCCCAATGCACGGCTGCAGGGATTGTGAGGACAAAATCCGGTTTCGATAGGGATGCATGTGTGGGCCCACTGGCATTCACTATGCAGAGACAGCCAATCAGTGATTTTTTTGGTAAAAGGCCAAACACTGATTTGACTGATTTGCTTTTGGAAGCAGAACATTTGGAAGTGGAATGGCTCTGGAAGTTTCACAGTAAAATCCATGTTTCATCATCGGGTTCTCCACGCCCCCAGACTTCCCACACAAACTCATCTGGGATTGCAGGATTACCTCCAAGATATCTTTTCATACTTGGACTGCAGCCCTTAAAATCCCTTAAAAAAGAAAATCTCACCAAAAGGGGCATAACTGTGCCTTCACCCACTTGTGTTTTCTGCAACCTTGAGTCTTGAGATGGAGACGGTGAATCACCTTTTCTCCACTGCCCAGTCAACCATCAGAGCCAGGGACCCTTTACCCCATTTTCTGTTTAATACAATATCCATTGTTGAACGTTGTTTCTTAGGAAAAATCAGCTACATCCAATACTATATAGATTTTTGTATCCATAATACTTTTGCTGTTTTCTGATTGACTGTACCATACTGTACAGGGTCTTTCCCCTCTTTTTGATGACAAAAAAGATACCAGAAAGGCATGATATCCGAAAAAACTTACAACCGATGACTAGTATCATAAAAGTAGTAGCCAATCAGATGGTATTCATCAAAATTCACAGGGGGTTTTGATTGGTCAAAGCCTTTTTTGGTATCATACCTTTCTGACATCATAGATTTTCCCCATTTATAAATTTCTGGTTCAAATGTAATGTTTGAAGCAAAATGAAGTATATGAAGCAAATAGGAAAAGAAAAATAATGATCAAATGACAGTTGCTTACCTGGCCTTTGGACTGTATAGACGTCACTACCAAAGATGGAAGAAATTGATTTGAGAATGCTCTGGTTTGATGATGCCCCACCAGTTGCAATTATTCGTTTTGGAGGAGATGGCATCCCAAATCTTTCTGCATGAGCTCGCATTGAGAGAAACTGGCCTTCAATTATAGCTCGTACCTGAAAGTGGATATCAATGAATTAGCATATAATCCTATTTGCCTCATAACAACAAGAAAACTACATGAGGCTCCTTCACTGACAACATTAGAGGCTATGAATAATCCAAGGTCACCAACCTCTGAAGGAGCATCAAATTCCTCCACTTCATGCTCTTCCAACCCATTTAACGAGTCACTGGTGAAGTTTCTAAGAACATAACGATGGAAACCAACTGAATGCATACATAAATCATGTTAGAAAGTATGAGTGAATTAATAAATAAAATTGCTACTTTGTTCAGGACACATGCACATATGACCTCCATATTGCACTAGCCATGCTACAAAAGCAACACGAGATTTTCATCACCATCTAAAGAAATGTGATTGCTTTGATGGTTCCAACTGTTGGTTTAGTCAAACTTCACCAATATAAAACTACTATATGGTTGGTGTTAAGCATATGAATCATAGGTAGTTCACAGAGATTGGACCTATGATATTCGGACCAACATATTCTCCATAATGATAAAGAAATATTTTGACATGTTAGGATCTATGTTGATGCATGTATGCACACATGCATCACGCATGCAATTGTGTATATGAAAATGTGATATATATATATATATATATATATATATATATATATATATATATAGATTCAACTATGGTACTAAAAAGATATGATGTCAGAAAAACTTGTAACCAATTAACCAGTATCATAAAAGTGCTAACCAATCAGGTGGTATTCATCAAAATGCACGGGAGCTTTTGATTGGTCAAAGCCCTTCGGCTATCATACCTTTCTGGCATCATAAATTTACCCCATATTTATATATACTACACAGACATGCACACATACGATTTGATCAAGAAAATCTGTAGAAAAAAAGGAAAAGGCCAATTAGCCACCTGGAAGAGGAGGAAGAATTTCATGCTCCTTATAGTAGAATCCCAGCTTTCCATCTGTTCCAGAACGGAATAAGAAATTTAATATAACATATATAAATAATGCTCACATAAGCATAACAAAGGAAGAAAGAGAAACCATTTAGGGGAGGTGTTTTCTCCAGGAATTCATTGAAAACCTCCCAAGATTGCTCTGCACACTGGTTCCGTACATCTGGCACAACAGTCATAGTAGCATTAGGCACTCTCAACATGGAGAGGTAATTAATGTTTTCTCAAGATCTTATTTGGAGGTCATACCTTCACGAGTTAGAGATCCATTCTTGTAGCACAACATTACCATGTAACCTGCTGTATCAACAGGGTTAGGGAAAATATGTCCCTCTAAACAAGGTTGGGGCTCATTGGTTATCCCAAAAACCTGAATGAACAGCATGCAAAGATATTAAGCAAAACTCATCAAAGAACCAGCTTTATTAAGTTTAAGGGTATTGGTGAGATACCGCTCACCTCGGAAGCCCCTTCGAGGGTGGCTTAACCTCCTGAAACAGAAAGTGGAGAGGAAGAAGAGAAGGGAAAGTAGGAAAAGAGGGATTCAGTGAGAGAGAAACAGGGGATATTCATTCATGCCTTTCATTGTAAGAGTATGGCCTTATATAGCTGGCCTACAGGTGTAATCATAGAGGGAATATCCTCTGATTGGCAGGATAACTAACTCTGGGAAATATCATGGAGGGAATTTCCCTGAGTGTAACTAATTCTGAGGCTCTGTCGCCGGTCCTTTCTGCCTCCTTGAGTATTGCTGATGGGTAGTGGCCTGCTCCACTCCCTTTGTTGGGTTCGGGGAAGGTATTTGGGTCCCAACAATTCCTCCCTCCTTAGCATTGACCTTGCCCTCAAGGTCTAGGTTCGGGAACCTCTCATTCAGCCTTAGATAAGGTTCCCAAGTGGCATCTTCTGGGGGCAGCCCGG